GTGGACAGGTTTCAACTGGAAAACAATCCAAAGTGCTGCATACTTTAAAGGGTGTCAAGCATTCAAGTAACCAAAAATGGCAACCTCCAAGGACTTGAGGTAGAAAGCGCCCGTCATTCTATCACCACAAAGCTACAGCTACGTGGTTGGATGAATGAATTCACCACGTTATGGTCCAGTTATAAAACACTTGTCAAACAGCGTGTCTTTCGCCTCCTTGGAGCAGCAATCGGTTGCTTCCTTCAGCACCTGTGCCTTCGAGGCAAACTTAGTCACTTGTTTTTGTTTTTTTTCCTTCAGTTCACACCATCCTCGTTTGTGTTCAGTTTTTTTATTTTTGGTTGGCATTAAGAACACTGCATGCACAGTGTTTAATCTGGCTGTCTGGTGAAGACTTATTCATGAGTCTGATTCATAAATCAGCTGGATGATTTATGAGTTGACAGGTGGTGACTTCACTTTGTGTCGGGCTGCATCACCATAAATCCTGACGTGAAGGTTGAAGGTATCGCAAGTCACCACGCGTCAGGTTTTTCATAAGAAACTAGTGCCGCTTCTGCTAAAGGACATAAATAAGAGGACGTACACAGACAAGTGATGAATTGAAGCCAAATCTGAACCCTTGACCCCTACACAAGGGGGTCGGGTGGCTCTTTTATTGGCATTATTTGGGTCCACTTGTGCCTTTAAAGAGAAGGGTCACTGCAAATCAATACGAAGATGCTCTATCCTAACAGGAGTGGTCTCCTCCAAGATAATGCCTTAATCAATATGGCTCAGAAATGATGTGAATCATACGCTATAACCTTTGAGGTCACCAGATCTCAAGCCCAATGGATATTTATTGAGGATTTTGGGAACGACACCATCATCAAAACACCAAACAAGAGAATATCTTTTGGAAAAATGGTGTTCATCCCTCGAGTAGAGCTCCAGAGACTTGGAGAATCAATGTCAGGACACAATGAAGCAGTTCTGGTGGCTCGACACTGCACTAAAACACTGCTTTTTTCCTTCTTTTTTTAACCTGCTTGTTTCTCTGATTAGTACAATGGAAAATGAATTAAGAGCAATTAGGGTGTGGCTGTATCGCAGTTTAAAGCAGTAAACCGGGGTTAAATTTAGAATCACTCATTTACATGTGTTACTGCCCTCAAACTTTTTCACTGCAGCTGTGGCGTGTTCCCTAGTTTGTTTGTTTTTTATTCTGGTGAGCGCAAGAACTACAAGAGATAAGCAAAAAGGCTGAGAGAAAACAGCAAAGACAGGCAGAGAGATGGAAACAAACCACACCGCCCCACCCCTGGCCCACTTTTTTAAAACAGAGGAAGGAAGAGGCTGGCAGCGTGGACGGAGAAAGTCTGTGCTGCCATTTTTTTTTTTTTTGTCACAAGCCAGTTCACACCAAGCATGGTCAGGTGATAGACTATCTGATTTTGTAAAATGTCTCTCTGTACTGTCTGAGCCAACTGACGTCTAATAGATAAATAAATAAATACGCACACAGATAAATGGGCCACCCATGCCACTGACTCATACTGCAAATGTTTGACAGACAATAGAGGCAACCTCCGCAAAAGAAACAGAGAAAAGAAAAACAGCCTTGAGGCAGGAAAGACGTATAAAAAATTACACTCCCAGTCCCCTCGTATGAGTCGTTTCAAACATCTTTCACATTTCACAAGAAACTGAAATGTTTGATATTTCTCACATTGCAGTCACATTTAAAAAAAAAAAAAAAAAAGGTACAAGGAAAACCAGACAAGAATGTACAAATTCTAAGTTTTATTTCTACCTTGTAACAGAGACAATTTGTGATCGACTTGAAAACAAATGAAATACAAATAAAAAATACTGTTAATTTCTGTTGTTTCTTTATCTTAATTGTAATAATCTAATGATTTTTATATCTACCCAGCGACAGTGCATGGTGCAAAACATCCCTGATTGATTAAAAAATCCTACACTAATAAGCTTGCAGTATCTAGGGTTAAATTTGTCAGTAAAAACAATATGAAAAGAAAAAAATGATTAGAGAGCAGATTCTTAGAGGTAACAACCGTAAATATAGAGTAGCAATTTAAAAATGTCATAAGCAGAGGTTTGTACAGCTATGAAAATGAGCGTGAAAGTGGACCATTTATTCAGGAGACAGAGATCTGCAAGTTCCATAATGTTTCAGCTCTGTATTATCTCTTACATGAGCCACATAATTGTTTTGGATTGTTGACAATCACTCTAAAGTGAAGATGGTCTCCACAACATCATAATTCTCAAGCCTCATATTAACTTTTTATTACCCCATTACACTTTAATACCACAAATTTCCAAACGTCGCTCTAAATCATATCACAAAGAGAAGGTTCATGAACAAATTAAAAGCAATAACCTTCTAAACAACAGATCAATCCCAACATTTCTTCCCCATGCACTCACCAGCATGCTGTGTTTGGGCTCAAGTCATTTCAATTCCGCCTCTTTAAAATGTGAACAAAAAAAATGCGAGTACACTGACTCGCACGTGTCCTGTAACAACAGTGTTTATGCATGTATATGAATCACACCATTGCGCTTCATTTTAATTTATTTAAATTTCGCTTCCTGAGTTGATCTTACTTGATTTGAATCGGATGTGAGCACACAATGAGGACTAATGATTTGTTTTCCCAGCAGCCCTCTCCAATACAAAGTATCCACATTGTTAGAAAGCCACACAAGATGCTGAATGAACCTTATCTACACTGATTTGATAGAAGAAAAAAAACAAAAACTTCATTGACTGAGGTACCGAGTAGAAAACCTCTGGCTGAGAAAATGGAATGAGAAAAGATGTGGCAGGATGACGGCTGAAGTCCAGCTTCCCCGCCCTCTGCTTAAGTACGTGCTTATGCACTGCCTTTACAATCTGGAGGGCTGCGGTTGCATGTGTTCATACTTGGACAGAGGGCTGAAGAATGAGGACACGCAGCAGACAAATAAAACCAGACACACCAATTATGTAATAGGGCAGAAAGCGTGTTTAGGTTATTAGAAATGGGCAGTGAGATACCCTGAAACACTGCACAAAGATTTCTTCACCAGTTGCAACAGCCTGTGCTGAACTACGGCCTGCTTTCACTGGGAACACCCTGTATGCCAACTGAACTTAATGCGAGTAAAAGAAACGCAAAATGAACCATTTGTGACAGTAAGTGGTAAAATATATTGTTCCTATTGTTTTTAAAAAGCCTGTAGAAACAAGCAAAAATCTAACATTTTTAGAATCTGAATTAAGTCAACTGTGTCCGAGGGGTCACACTTGTTACACTTGAATAACCTAATTTTTTTTCAACAACAAACTGCTGTAAGAAAATTAGAACGCACTTACAGCAACTGAGAATAAAGATTACAATCACAAGCAATGCAAGTGCCTCCACATTCTTGCCAATATATTTTACATAGCATAATCTAAGAAGCATAGAAAAGTATTCACTGAAATACTATACAGCACTAGCTGTTCACCTGGGAGTTACTTGATGTAATCTAAACTTGAAGCTGTATCCACAGGGAATTTGCTGTACATGATTATCTTATATTTATGGTTTTTTTCTGAATGTGAGAGATTTTGTGCTCAGATTGCCCATATACTATGTTGTCAACAAAAATGTGATTTATTTAGATTCTTTTTCCACACTAGTCCATAGCTCCCATGTTCCCAGTTTTATCTTGCATGCATCACTCATTTAGTGTGGGTTTTAAATTTAAATAAACCCACTCTTTGTTTTCATCATGGACGACTCAAGTGAAGTGGTCTTAACCAGAGCACCTCGAACTGAAAGGTTAGACCAATGAGTCACCATCTCAACTCCCTTTGATAGCTTTTGATCACAGCAGAATATACAGAAAATTATGTGGCCACTTTCTCCTCAGCCGGCTTCTTGAGAATAATTGTGAGACAATGGACAACAGAAGCCCAGTGACAGAGCCACAGCCTCCCTGTTCCTGTCAGTCTTCTCGCTAAACTGTCACCAATGCTTGTAAAGCCAACAATCATTTGAAAAAATATATATATTTAGGCATTTAGGAGATTACTCATCAAAAACCAGCTGGTTCTGAAACCAGTTTTGTGCGGTCCTCTCCTACAGTCCGTGAATTTCCACTAAACATCATCTTTGGCTAAATCACACACTGAAGAGCGATGTAAATTTCCCCTTTCTTTTAACTGGGCCAAAATTACACTTCCCAGCCTTCGCCCCCACATTGTCTCATTCATAAAACATCTCTTCAAGCTGCTGTATCATCAATTCAAGGTGCTGCACTCGAAGACGAGAACAGCCAGTGTGTGTGGCAAAGGTCACCGACAAATATGACAAAACAATGCTGAACACAAACTGATCCATATGATGACATACTTCAAATAAATGTTTTTTTTTATTCATCTTCAACTTTCAGTGAACTAAAAACAAGAAAAAGAAAAAAAAAACATGTTGGTTTTATGTATCTACAAGAAAGAAACAAAAAAAAAAAAAGAAGAAGAAAGAAGCAAAACTATTTCACATCCATGACTGTGATCTCAAATCATTGGTTTTCATAATGGAAGAGAAGAAAAAAAAAAGTTTTCTTATTGTGAATCCATTTAATTTAGGGATTCACCTGCACATATATCCACCTGTGCGCCCAGTGTGTGGTATGTGCCGTTACCATTTGAACGTGCAATTCGATCCCCAACCCCACCCCAACCCAACCCAACCCATCACACAGACATACACGGACCTCTGAAACTGGATGTACAAAAGCTTGTGTTTAGCATTAAACAGTGCAGGGCCTTAACATAAACAGCTAAGGCTCCTCTCTCTTCCCCTTCCCCTCCTACCCTGCAGCCAGGTTTTGAATTTACATAATGGATGGGCCAGACCCATCTCTACAAAATGACAGGAAAACAGAGGGCACAGGAGGAAGAAAAAAATAAAAACGTACATACAGAATACAGCATCTCCTTCTGTATCATTCTCACTTTTTACACACACACTCACGCACAAAAAATTGCAAGCAAATAGCCAAACAAACGGTTAGAAATAGTTTTAGAGAGAAAAAATATGATTGAACCCTGGACACTTGTTTTTCTTTAATGCCGTTTGGTGACGAGGGAGAAACAAGTTTGGGAGGTAGGAAAAAAAGAGCGTTGGGCCGACAGGGGGTGGCAGGTCGTGGGAGGGAGACCCAGCGGGTGTTATTTCTTGGCCTTGGCGGACTTGGCTGAATTTCGTGGCGGGGTGACCGGTCTCCCAGATCCCATTCCTCCCCCTCCACCATAAGGATACAATTTCTTATCTGCTGGTTTCAGAATCTGGAAGGAGCACATGAGTGTCTCATCCACACTCATCATGGCACCAGCGTTGTCAAACTCTCCACAGTAGTTGGGAGCCGAGAATAGAGTGACGAGTTGCCTCTTCGCGAAAAACTCATAACCATCTTCTACCACCTTTGGATAGAAGAGAGGCTATCATTACTACAAAATGCAAAACAGAAGCAAAAAGTCCGCAGCGCTTTGGTACAAGTGGTTGTAAGAAGATTTTTAAGTTGTTTTAAACCATACTGGATCTCAAATGCTCACACTCACACATATCTTCTACAAGGTAACACACATTAGCCACTGTATAGTCATCACCTGCTGTCGTTTTTTTTTTTTTTTTACTTATACTGAAATAATTGTGCTTTTTAGTTTCAATATGTTGAACTGAAATACTCAGGGGCTACAATGAACACTTAATATATGCAGACCATTTGCAGAGCTGCCTGTAATCAATGAAAGCAGCAGCAGCAACAACAGGAACAAGAGCAGGGTGCAAGGGCTGCATATGCATTGTGAAGATCAGTGCTGCAAATGTTAAAAATAAACCAGGCTTCTTCCTATATTATTTATGTAATACAAGTGTGGCCCTTGTACATAGAAAAGGGTCATAAAGTCTTGTGTGTGTGTGTGTTTTTTTTAAACCTAACAACATGCAGGAAACGACGACTATGTATCAAACAGGACTTCAACCTCGGGGTCTTGCTCATCCTGTCAACATTTATTTTACCACTATCAGCTAACAGTTGCTTAGTAACTTTATCCTTCACAGAGTCTAATGATGTCTGTAGATGTCAACGTGCCTATATTACACAAACTAAGTGAGAAAACAGGAAGTTAGACAGCGCTGTGCTGGGTCTTAAAACTGAAGACAGAAAAATCCCATAACGAAAGCTCAAAGTCTTGTTTTGTTATAACTCTGCTTGGTACATGTGCTCAGGTGTAGCCAGTCAAAAGACAGCCTGCAGCACATCCACTCTGTGAACATTTCACATAGGTTATGTATTCAATGGAGCCAAAATGTTAGGTATAGCTGAATAACCTGGGGAAACCCAAGACAAAACACCTGCCACAAGTTCTTAATTTGATAGGACTGAAAGGTTTGATTGTTTTTTTTTTTTTTTTGCTGAAGCTTTAATTCACTTACATGTCGGTTAGTAAGGTTGTGGTTAGTGGTGCTGCTGTACTGGACTGTGTTATATTGAAATGTGATTATAATACTCTTCCTTCCTCATGTTTCTAAATGAGCAAATTATCAGAAGGGCCTCTCATTACAATGCAGTTCTATTCATCACCACAGCAAACTGAAACATCAGTAATAAACATATAATTAAATTAATACTGCTTGACAGTGTCAATCAAATCTGAACAATATTATCTTCACAAAAGGTTCAATTTATGGCTGAGCTTTTGTTATTGGATTGTACTCTATTTTACAGATGTACCAAAACAAGTAAGCACTGTGTGTAAAATCCCAGTCCTTTTACAAAAACAAGTAAACAACAAGGACAAATAAATACAGCTTTAGTTAACAGTCAAGGCTTCTTGGCTTTTAATCCATACATAATAACTAGCAAACATTACCTGATGTGCCCTGCATATTAGGTCCATGTCATGTTTGTGCAAAAATTTGGCCACTACATCTGCTCCGAATGTGAAGGAGACACCGCGATCGTTTTCACCCCAGCCCAGCACATCTTTGTCTGGATCGGCCCACAGCAGGTCGCACAACAAACCCTGGTCAGGCACGTCTGTGGGTCGCATTACTCTGCGGATCTGCTCCATTGACTGAAGATCAGGAGACAGGCCTGGAGAGGAAGTACACAGGGAACACTCAAGCATCTTAGGCTGCCCCTTATCATGTAATCTTCTTAACATCATACATTAACAAGGCCTACCTCCGTGACAGCAGAAGATTTTCTCATCTACAATGGCAGCCACAGGTAAACAGTTGAAGCAGTCTGTGAAGGTCTTCCACAGCTTAATGTTATACCGTCGCTTACCTACCAACAGGAGGAGAGAAATTGGAACTCAGTGCAATAGTCAGGAATACAGGTGTGTTTTTTCCCCCCTCAATTTACAGGCTCTGTGTGCACTTACACTCATCATAAAAGCCATAGATTCGATTAATAGAGGCGCATTCATGGTTGCCACGCAGCAGGAAAAAGTTCTCTGGGTATTTGATCTTGTAGGCTAGAAGCAGGCAGATAGTCTCCAGTGACTGCTTTCCTCTGTCTACATAGTCGCCCAGGAACAGGTAATTGCTTTCTGGGGGGAAGCCTCCATATTCAAAAAGCCGGAGCAGATCATAGTACTGACCATGGACATCACCTGCAGGGGGCAGCAGAGAAGAGCAATTTACACACCACATTCTCACTGCTACTGGGTGTAGCTGCTATTACGTGCAGAGTCCACACTTGTCAGCTGACAGAAGTTTCAATTACAAACAAGCAAAACGGCTCACGAAATCATGAACAAAACATTATATGATGACCATTGTGTTATGTACATAGGACAGCCCACAGTGCAGCTTCTTAGACCTGATTTTCACACTTTGCCTTGATGCTGTAGACCGACTGTTCAGCACAGACACCTCAACTCATTAAAACTCACCACAGATTTTTAAGGGAGCCTCTAGTTCAAGCAGGATCGGCTGGCTCAGGAAGATTTCACGGGACTTGAGGCAAAGGCCACGGATCTCGTTCTCTGTCAGCTGGACATTCTTCCCTGGCCGAGAGCCCTTGACTAAAAAAAGGAGAGATAATGGAAAAGTTTATGGGAGATGCATTAACACGACAAAGACATGCCTATTCTCAGAGCTGAAAGAAAGGCTGACGTAAAGCACAGCAATGAAACGTGATCCTCGGATTTTGAAACAGACCACCAGACTGAGAAGTTAACACCTCCCACCAGCCAAATGCTGACAAATTCTGTTAGCAGTCCAGTCTTAAAGCCACTTCTGCAGGTAACCACATCATTGAAAGGTAATATTGTACTGTACATTTTGGAAATTACAAGCTACTGACACAAGTTACACTTTTAATGTTTATCAAACCACAGCACAGCGAGATGAGCCTGTAAAGTGTGCAAAGATGTGCAACATCTGAGAAAACCTGATCACTGGAAAGTAGCTTGACGCTGTCAGCCTCAAAAACAAGGCTTTCTGCATAGGCGGCAGTTCAAACCGATGCTAGGAAAAAGATGTGAAACCCACTTCCCCTTGTAGCTGATGAAGCTGCAGTAAAGACGCTGCAAACACGTAATTAGGACTCTTCATTGCTAAGAAGCAAAGAATGGCTTGCCACAGGCGGTAATAACACAGCCTCAAATCAAAAATAAGGCCAAGAAACAGGTTGTAACATAGGGTAAGTACTTCACATATAAATAGCATATGTACAAATATAATATTGCAATAGATAATATTCTCTCCCTGTCATCCAGCTACCAGCTACGTAACTGATGCTATCTTAGGAATTCAGCAGGTTTGTCAAGTGTTTCCTTGTCTTGTATTTTCACACCTACCACACACTGAATGGTGCCAACCACAAAATTATGATAAAGAGTGAAATACTTAATCCAAATTTATTTTCCTGACAAACTATTTGCTTAAGACCCCACATCCCATCAAATATGTAGTCACAGCTTTAATGTTGTTGAAATGGTTGGGGTGTAAAAACATCCCTTAGATATATAAAAAAAAAAAATAGCTGGTAGTCTCACAGGCAGTCTGAAATTACGTGTACCAGGACAACTGGTCCTAATTCAGATCAAAATATTTGTCTATTGACATGCCAAATGTAGGCCGTAGATGTGGTGCCATGCGACTGTATCTCAGTGAATGTGTGTGCACTGCACCCTTATGCAAGACTGCTCCTGATGGAGTTTGGAATCAGGTTTGTTTGTATCACTGACAGAATCAATCACGCCCCCACTCGTACATGTGCTGCTTGATGCCAAAGCAGTTCCCACCACAAACTGTACAAGCCTACTAATGAGGAGTCTCATTCCCACCCAACAAATTCTACACAGGCCACTGCACAAGTAATATATGTATAGTGGAGACAGAACTGCCTCCAACGATCTGAGTGACAATTATATTCAAGGCGCGTGTGAACAGAGCTCTCTGTAATATGTTTATGGGACTGATTTAATAGTTATCAGGTGTTTGCCGGTTAACAGACAAACGCATTTACTTTTAAATGCCAGTCAAGCAAACCAATGCACGTGTGGACGATAACAGCAAAACCATAGTCACTGAAAAACTATATTTGTTTCAGAACATTAAATCTTTAATTGTACTACCTAGTTCTGGCAAAGCTTAAAGCAACCTCAGATGCGATGCCACATAATTATATCTAAAATGATCGTTGCCTCGTCGATACTGAGATCACAATTTCTGCCGCCACTCACGCATTGTAATTATTGAGCTATTTACTAAAAACCTGTTTGAGATGTACCCGATGTCATTCACAAGAAATAAAATTGACTGTGCAAAACTCATTTAAATAAGACTCTACACCAGTGCAGCATTCAAACAAATCAAGAATAAATCTCGATGTACAAAATACTGTTTCAATAAAACTGGAAGTTGGTGAAAATGCATTTCTCGGTGCTAACAATGGTGAAACTGTGATTGTATGCTCATAACCTGATGCACCAGAACAGGTACTTAGACACACACTTGTTGTAGCCACAGTGATGATCGCATTTACCACAATTATTATAGAATTAATGACATCTCATCATAGAGAAAAGGGACTATTGTATTACATGAGAATCACCATTTAAATATCACCCCTTTCTGATAACTGCACCATAGACAATGGGCCGAGAATTACTCTGAGTAATTGTCCAACTAATAGCTGTGTTATATATACAGACAGAGAGAGGGAGACAGAAATAAATCTTACATTCTTTGTCCATAACGTTGGGAAGTCAAAGATATCCTTTACTACTTGTGAAATGCTACACACAGCACCTGACACTGAATTACAGACCATCGCTCAGTAAAATTAATCTTGGTTTAATAGTGCTTGCAACTTGGAGAGGGAGGGCGAGAGCAGACGTCAACAAATGGATGCAGAATAAAGGCACTGTGCTGAAGCGACGACTAAAAGCAGTGAAAAGTAGATATAAATACTGCAGTGCTGGTTGTCACTTTAAACCTGGATTACAGAAGGCTAAGCCCTGACAGAGCTTACTCCAAAGTTAGCCACATAGCCAGTGGGCAACCATGAGCTTATCATGAGGGGCACAGACAAAAGGCTTTCCACTACACTGATCAGGAGGCCGAAAACAAAGAGCCGGACCAGTGCAACAGTAAAAGCTGTGTCGGGAGTGCTGGAATCAACAGTTGGTTTGGTCCAGCACCCCTGACACAGTGCTGGGTGTTCTGGTTGGGCTTAGGTGATGTCACGCTCTCCAGACATGCTATTAGCAACGCACTCCCTGAGTTCGCTTAGCTCTAGATCGACGTAAGTAATCCAATTGAAACTGCTCATTATCCAAACACATTTAATTGGTTTGGTCTCGAAACACAGTCAGCAAGCAGGAGAGCTACCTTGTTTCCCCATAGGAGCCTGAGCCGGCATGGGGTAATTTATCAATCTTTTAATACAGAACCTGCAATGGGACAGTTATTCTTGAATCTTCTGGAGCCTTGCACACAGCAGTACCATAACAATAGCAACATTTACTGCCGAATGCTTATTCCCAGCAATAAAACCGCAAACGCTGAAAAAAAAAAGGTCAAGTGAGTTATGTAAGAGGATATAAATACTGCCACTATCAGGCTTGTTTGTCTTCTCCTGTGTTTGGCAGACAACCTTATCACGGCCCAAGTACAACAATCCAGGTACAAAACACTCCAGTAGCCAGCATGGCCCACAGTCAAAGTCAAACTCCCAGCAGGCGCTATGACTGCATATGCATATTTGTGCATAATCCCAATCACCTCCACCAGCTCAGCTTAGTCTGATCATGCAGGGCCTATATTTAAGACGATAAACAAACTGAGGGCTAAGGGCAAATTTATGAACAATGTTCGTCGTGAGAAAAGTCTCTTCATCAAGTGTTCCCTATTTACCTTTCAAAACATCTTCTAATAAAAAAAATGTGACTAGAGGCACAATTTTTCATTATGTATTGGTTGTAAGAATAAAAGTAGCTTCATTTTACTAACCCACATAGACTGGGTTGCTGCTGTGAAACCGCTAGGTGTAACACAATTTCTACACCACTCGCCCTACAAGGACATCTATAGAAGGTCACAACCTTATTTCTTGTGCTCTTTCGATGAACTGTACAGTTGGGTCTGAGGAGATTTATGCTTGTGTTTGATGTCCTCGGGGCTCCTGTTACACAATCATCATGCGGATGTGAAGATAACACAGCCCTGTTTTCCCTCATACACCTCCAACCATGACAAATCTGTCCTCACACACACACTGTATACAGTTGGCATTCAGACATCTAAAATCTTCTACTCAGGAATGGTTTGCATCAGACACAGAAGCAGGACAGATACAATGAATCTACATCTGCCAGCAGATGAGCAGTCCAAAGATTTAAAACAATTCCTATGCATTTTTTTTTACACAAGATTTTTATAAAGTGCTGTATAACTGTTGGAATTTACACATTTTTTTTGTTTTTACATGCATCGAAAAAAAAAAAAAGAAAAAAAGGAAAACCACATGGCATAACTTTGTAGCAAAAAGAAATTATAAAAGTTTATGCTTCAAAGACAGCAGCGGAGCAGCAAAGAGGGCCAACCAGCAGTTGAACACAGTAACAGTAAGTGTGTGCCAATCAAGTATCCTTGTTTGTACACTTCATTAACAAGTCACTTTGGGAAGACTGGAGCTGCAAATTGTAAACAGATCCTTCAACATGCAACTGCAAAACAGCACAGCCCACCCAAGTAAGTGAAGAGCTCTGGTGGGAAAGGAGTGACTAATGTGGTTTAAAAAAAAAACTGCAAAACTGTTCTTGCAGGAAGCCTTTGTCCATGAGAGTTAACAGTTAAAAGTCACAGTTATAATCTCTCACTGTTATATTGCAAATAGCCACTCTCAAATCATCCAACTAATGACAGAATTATTCAAACTGGGCGTTTCTGTTGTCCTGAGCTGAGACACAGAAATAAATCTGAGCCTGGTTCAAGTCCTCATGGAAAAAAAGCTGATGCATTAATCAGAACCCATAAGCCCTAAACAACTAATGCATCCAGAGTCATAATTTACATAAATACGTGTGTGATGTCCCTCTTTTTCCGTGCTACATCACTCTGTAACGTCACGTATTCTCTTTGATTTGTGGACAACATTACAACAGTGCACCGCCGCTGAAAACAAATGAAGAAATGGCTATTATAAAGAAAACACATCTCTCAAATCAAATGACATCTATATAGAGCAGGGTTGATTTGGTTACAACCTTTGATCTGAATCCAAGCATCGAGCCGGAGAGCAATCTTAAGTAGGCTACTACAACATACCGTGGCTGCCTTTAACTTCAGTTGACCTACCTGATATATGTAACACACATTTCATTACAAACAAAATTTCACATAATCAAACCGAGGCATTTGCTGTACAGTGGGTTTGGTTCTCCTCACCTTCCAAGAGACGCTGAATTATAGAGTCGATGTTTAATTTGTCCGGCTCCGCCATTTTCTTTATTTTCTGACGTTCTCGGGCAGTCAAGACCTTGGTTTTCTCTGTAGCACCTTAGATTTTAAGAACAGAAAGAACAAGACAGAGACATTAGTAGTTACTAGTAATATATGTCATCATTTACACTGGTTACCTGACGAATGTCTTGCTAATCAAGCAACGTCAGGGCTGGAACAATCAATGAGCTTAAGCGAGCTTCAGCTAACCAAGCTAGCTGGGTAGCTATTAGCCAAGTAACATAAGCTACACATACAAACTAGCAGCAACAGAGCCGCGGCTAGTTAGCTAACGCTAGCTATATAATAACTTAGAAACAGACAAAATGTCCGCGAACCTTGTCTTCGGTTCAACACCGATCCACCTGGGATGAAAAAGCTGTAAATATTTATCCCCTGAGTTCAATCTTGGCCCTTTTCCCTTGGTTCGTCCGGGTCGCTCTACTCTTCCCCCAGGAACTTTAAAAGAGGGCCGTTTCTAGCGAAGCGTCTACGGTGACAGAGGAGGCTGAATCAAACCGAGCTCTTCCCACGTTTCTCTGGAGCTGATTGGTCCGTCGTAGAATTTAGAATCCAAACTTGCGCATCTGATTGGATTCATGCCGGGTCCGTCTTTACACGTAGGGCCCCGCCCACAGCCGTTTACAATGGCATCAATGGAGATTTAAATGTAAGCTCACAATGCGCCACCAACTGTTTACATGTGGAACTGCATCGTAAAACCTAAAATATCCTCTACAGCAATTTCATCTGACCTGCCCCCAGGAGGCAGAGCAACACCTGCACAGCCAAAGAAAAAAAACAAACATGTAATAATATTTTAATGCCATAGGTTTTTATGATTTTGTATTTAATTAAAATATATGGTTAGGTAACCACATATCAAGTCTTATGCAGTACAACAGGGTATAGAAATGATCCTTTAAAATTATACTACGACTGCTAATAATAATAATACTGCTGCTAACAATAATAATTAACACTTCTACTAATAATAATAACTTTATAAATACAGCACTTTTGAAAATAGGGGTTTACAAAGTAGAAAAAAACTAACAAATTATTTTTTTTCTCCTAAAATTAATATAAAATAAAATCTATTTTTAAAAATCCATATTGTCATTGTTAATAAATACAAAAAAATACAGCTTAATAAGCTTTTTTAATTTATAATGCTATGTAATGTATGTTTATCATTTGTAGATGAACCCCCTTATGATTCATAATGTAGAATAGAACAGAATAGAATAGAATAGAATAGAATAGAATAGAATAGAATAGAATAGAATAGAATAGAATAGAATTTTATTGGTCCCTTTGGTGCAAACCTCAGGGAAATTGTTGTTGTGCTTGTATGTCATCTTGCATTTTAACATATCTGGTGTACACTAAACACACATTACAGGCAAAAGCGGAGTAATAACTGTCCGGCTTTTTTAAAACATAAAAATAGACTGTTAAGTTTACAGCAACAACTGAACAATAGAGTATGTACATTTATTAATATACATAATGTAAATATTTGTGTACTTAACCTGAATATTTTCCTTTTATGATACTTTTAGCTAGCTTTAATAATGAAGAAAACACCGTTATAGGGTAAGATCTAACATACAAACTACGTGATGAGCAAATAAAATTCATGGCATTTTTGTTATATACACATAAATATATAATCTAGTAATTTATAATATAATGTAAAAATCTGCAGAGCCATGTCTTGGCATTACTTAAAGAACTTTTTAATACTTGAATTCATGTTGCTACAAACAAGTCTGCTATTTGCTGATGCAGGGTTTTTGTTTCTATAACTTTACTTCTTACAGGGTACAATTTTACATACAAAACGTATGAAGTAGCACAAAATTTCCATTTTATGCTACTTCAGTTAGTTTCAATTATGGATTAAACACGTTTCCAGAGTAAGATTTTACATATGAAACATATAATGAATGAATAAGATATGAAGCATTTTTATTGTGTACACATGAATGATAATCCATCATTGTTATTAATGTCTAGAATTAAGAAGGGCCATATCGCTGCCTCACTTTAAGTTATTCTTTCATGCTTTAGCTTCATGTTGTGACAAACACCTCTGTACTTTTAGTTAAGCAACACTTTGATGAAGGATTTTTTTACTTAACATGGAGATAAATAACAGCTATATTTATTTAATTAATTGGAAAGCTTTATATCACTAAACAAATCCTAAATATTTCTGATGAAACCACAAAATACTAGTAAAAATAGCATCATGTTTCTTGAAATTGATGTATAAATAAGTCCCTGTACAAAGTATCGGTTTTGTGCGTCTGACGTACTATTTTGTTGTATGTATTTTTAAAATTCCTCTCTGTGTCTTCACACTGACGCTTAATATTATGCAAACTATGAAAGTGTGACACAGAATGTGCTAACAGAGGTTACATTCCTCTTCATTTCCTCATTTATTTTCCTTCCCTTGATCCACGAATCCCGGCTTACAATATTACGTAAAAACCCACATATCACAGTTTCGACAGAAGTAGGTGCGTATGTGAGGAGGTGTGGAGTCGGGGGGGGAGGTGGTTACTTGGGATGTGCAGGTATGGCGGCCTGGCTGGTATTTGTTTGTGTAGACGGTGGAGAAAAAGGGGGCCGTCTCCAAGGTGACTCACCAGTCTTTTTCTGGTAACTTGTGATCGATACAAACAAAGTGATTCACCCTGCATCATCATTATCATCTTCACCACAATAAGAAAAAATCTTTTTCTGTTTCTTGGTCAATTTTGACTATTGATGCCAAGATATTGCAGCTTTGTTTCCTTGAAACTCTGACGTTTTAACACTGAAGTGCTTCTCAGCGCCACACCAGGATTACTAAGGTGGGAAAAGAGAGGGAAAGACACAAGACAAACTATAGGACAAGTCCAGTCTGGTATAGAGGTCCTTCCCTTCTCTGTATTCCCCTGTTTTGAGCTGAGCCCCACCTACATCCCACATTCCTCTACAAATACCCCATCCTATCTCACAACCTCTACACAACACTTTTGTACATTTGAAAACAGCATCTTCAAAACAACACACAGGCAGAAAAAAAAAGGAAGAACCTCAACCGACACCTGATCTAATTTTTCACATTTCACAAAAGGTAGGCATGTTTTTTTGTTGTTGTTGTTGTTTTTTTTTTTATCCACGTTTTATTCAAAAATAACAGTCTGAAAGCTGAAAAGAGACAGGATTCTGCAAAAGCTCGAAATGACAGAGGATGAAAGGATTGGTCGAGGATTAGTTAGATACCTTTAGTTTTTTAATGGACATGAGGAAAAAACATGAAAAGTGCAAATAAACAGCTGTGAGAATAGAGTAAAGGCTGAACATTTGTTTTATCTGTGTTCACTGTTTTAAGAGTCTATGTTAGAATTGACAGGAATCAACTAATTAAAAACAAAAAAACAACTGTGCTTGATTACAATAAACTCAGTCATTTTGAGGATGAACTGAACTTTCAGGAGCAAAAACTATTTTAAATCAACTGACTCACATCAGATTAGTTTTCAGTGTTTAATCTGCTCTGAAAGTTTGTCATTTGGGGCGGATCACATATGCTTAAAATGCTTAAAAGTAAGATATTTTTGTCCTGGTTTAAACCCAGCACAACCCCTGACTGGGTTATTGGCCGTCCTTTGTTGATTTCAGTAGATTTAAGGTGAAGAAAACTGGATTTAATGATCACCAGAGGATACAAAGTAGGAGGCATTTGCTTTGCTCAACAAAATGTGTCCTGTGGCAAAGGATTTTTTTGTCTGTTCCTGAGACGAACAAAGGGAAAGAATTTGCCACATGTGCCTTAAACAAAGATACTGAATAAAATATCCTGTTCCTGAATTGATATCTCAGTGCCATGTACATGTCTGTTTTGCGTCTCTCATTTTTTTAATCTAAACTCAATTTTATTTCCATATGAAGGTTAATCATTAAGTTAGAGCAGAGATTTTGTAAGTAAGAAGTTGTGAGGGAGGGTTCAACAAGTCCTGGGTGGAGATCTGGGATGCACGGGCCTGTCGGGGCATGGCTGTTTTAAAAATGTAGTCCTCGCCACACCTTCTGTGAGGACCCGGCAGAGGGAGCAGGCGTTTGTCTGAGTGTGTCTTCAGCTACGTGATCACACATCAAACTCATCCTCTGAATAGAAGAGCAAGTGCTAATGAGCTTCAATGAAACCGCAATTAAGTAGAAACACGGGAAATTAAAAGCAGAATTAAAGCATTTAAGTGGGAAAAAAAATTGAAGAAATCTTGTATTGTTGGATGAAAGGCAGAAGACAAATGAAACAATAAATACCAAACAGTTAGAAATGAAAACATAAAGAGTGAAAAGAGTACTGTGAAGTAGCAATAAAAGCTTTAAGTATCTTACTCATGCCTCTTTGGTTTCTCTGTTTTTTTCTAGGATGGGATCTGTGGGAGTTCAGATTGTGTGTGTGGCCCTCGGCGTCCTCGGCCTGATTGGGGTCATTGTTTGCTGCGCTGTTCCTCGCTGGAAGGTGTCTTCCTTCACAGGAAACAACATTGTGACTGCACAGGTAATTGAAGGTTTTAACACAGAGACCTACACCACACGACTACATATAAGGATTTCTGATCCTGTTGAATTTATGTACTGTATGTCTATATATAAATAGACACATGTCAAAAAAGAACTTTTTGGGGGACCCTTGTTAAGGGGATTTCATTTTGTTTTCTAATCCATAAATGTAGCTGCACTGACTTTATCACTTTTAGATAAACACCTAATGAAAGCAGACTGTTCTATTCAAGTATTCAGGACATTTTAGCCAAGTCAAATTAGCAATAATTCAATATAAAAAACCAAAATTTTCTCAAAAGTAAAATGAGGGCTATACAATTCAATATTGTGTCCTTGTTTTATTATTCCTTATCTGTTGTTGTATACGTTGTATTTTATTGCATTTTTTGCTTGAGGTGGAGCTGATTTGACCTCATTATTGTTGCGTTGGGTACTTTAACAATAACAGTACATCATGTTTTATAAGTTTATTATATGTTTTGTGAATGATGAGTGCAAAGTATCCAAAGCTGTCACATAAATGTAATGGAGTGAAAAGTACAGCATGTTCTTTTGACATATTGTGAAGCAGCATTAAATGAAGATACTCAGGTTAAGTATATGAATGCTACATGAAGTGACTCTGTGCTGTCTTTCCATTTGTGTGAGTAGAGCAGTCAGGAGGGCCTGTGGACAGAATGCGTGGTGCAGAGTACCGGCCAGCAGCAGTGCAAGAACTACGACTCCCTGCTGGTGCTGTCCTCTGACCTGCAGGCCGCCCGCGCCATGACCATCATCAGCTGCATGCTCAGCTGCCTCAGCCTCCTCATCCTGTTCTGCGGCGCCGACTTCACTACCTGCATTGAGAACGAAGACGCCAAGCCGAAGATCAGCCTCGTGGCCGGGGTGGGCATGCTGCTGGCTGGCCTTCTGGTGATCATCCCCGTCAGCTGGTCCGCACACATTATCGTGAGCACCTTCAACAACCCCCTGATACCTGCTTCCCAGAAGAGGGAGTTGGGAGCGTGCATCTTTGTGGGCTGGGGAGCTGGCGTACTGCTGCTTCTGGGTGGAGGTCTGCTCTGCTGCTTCAGCAGGCCCAAATCCAGCTCAGGAGGAACTGCCAAGTACTACAGCAACAGCGCCTCAGCCCCCAACAAAAACTACGTGTAGATGCTTCATGAAAGGGACCGGTGTTTGAGAGAAAGGAGGGCAGGGGGATTTAGTTGGTAAAAGACTGGGAAGCACAAAACAGTAGATGACACCAGGGGTTATTTTGAAAAAGAAAAAGTGTAAATATCAAATGCTGACATTAACTTGCTTCCATATTAATAGTCAAGCTGGTGACGTTTTCATTTTGGGTGTTGGGTAAAGCATAAGCTATGAAAGTAAAGGCTATACATTATAAATCACCTCACAAAAAGTTTGTGACCTTAGAATTAAAACATTTTGTTTGGGTTACTGCCTTGGCATATATGACAACAACTATGATATTCTAGCTTTAAAACTGTTGCTTTCTACTTTTTTTTTTCTTGAAATATGTGACCTCAAAATTGATTTTGAAAGAACAGCACAAGTGTAAAAGAACATTAAAGGTTATGAAAATGTGAAAAGTGTATTTGTGAGATGAAAAACAATCGGACTTTGTGAGCTCTAAGCTCAATGTATAAAGATGAAAGAGCCAAATGGCCTTTTTTAGATGCACTAATGGCTCATATTTCACATACAGTTTGCATGTTTAATCACTTGTCTGTTCCTCTTTTATCTTTGACGCTGTTAACTGTCTGTGGTCAGAATGAGCTGTCAAAATAGTCTTTAACCAAACGCGCCTCAGAAAGCCTCAGGGAGCATCTATGTGCACTTGTTTCTCTGATGATATGTCTTCAAGCGTCCACATTACATTTCCTTTTATGAGACACTTCTTGCTGCTCATTTTGTTTTGTTTCTCATTTTGTATGCAGATGAGTATTACTGAATAAAAATTGGTCCAATTGAAATGTGCATTTCACGTTTGTTTTTTGAAAGAAAAAAAAAGTCAAAAATGTACTTTGAAAATACAGAAGACTTTATTTCAAACTAAAAGCATATATTAGAATAGGATATTTTTAAATTGATCACATAACCCCAATAAAAATTCCCAAAAAATAGTTTTCTAACATCCACTTTCTTAAGTTCTCCCTTTATCTCACTACAATGAAAAGTTAACAACAGTCGTCTCCCTCTAGTTGTCTGTTTGCTTCATTGCTTCTCTCTTGACTTCTGCTCTTGAGTTATTATTTTTTTCTTGTTTTTTGAACTTTCCGGGTTTAATGCTTGCTCTCCAGCTCGCTCACACGCTTGGTCAGCTCCTCTATCGCTGCTTTGAGGTCTTTCACCTCCTTTCTCAAGGACTGAACCTCCTGAGAGACAGAAAAAAAAGTCATGATGTGAGTTTGATGCATATTGCAGCATTTGTTATTGATTAGTTGGATTTGGTCAGCAAAAAAAAATTGTTTTTTCTTGCTATTGAGAATAAAATGACGTATTTACAGAGGAAAAAGTGCCCATCGAAAAGTCCTGCATTCCAAACTGTATAGATGTATCAGTAAAGTCTAGCATAAATATCAAAATAAAATATGCAGAAAAACAAGATATAGGCAGCTTTCCCTGTAGTTGCTTAAGGTGGAGCTATTTTTAACGACTATTTATAAGTACTTCAGGTTTCATCTGTTTAAAAAAAAAGCACCACAATAAACATTTACGTTAAAACTGAGTTGAATGTAAAATCTTATTTAAGAACTAAATCTATGAAATACTGTGGTGCAACCATCACCTTTTGAAATGCTGAAAAAAGCATGAAACAGTAAAAAAAGGAAATTCTTGACGTAAAGTACAACTCATTCTTATTATTTAAAAGATTATTTTGGAGACTCACCCCGCTGCTGTCCTGCTGATTCCCTGCAGAGGCAGTCGTGGTCTTCAGGAGACTCTTGTGAACTTTGAACTCCTTGGCTCTGGTGGTTGCTACGAACCCGTCCTTTAGGGATATCAGAATCGGCTGTGCATCTTTGCCTTCGAACCACTCGTCAGCTTCGACGGAGGGCTCGGGGCCGATGGTGTCGGGGTACAGATCTTCTTGGAACAGATCCGACTACACAGGCAGAGAGGAAAGAAAAAAAAAGTGACCCACAAACTCATTCTGGTGGAGAAAAGTGCACTTCGCTTTGTTAAACCTTTACCTTGCGTGGCACCGTCATGACTATGGGCTCACATTTCCTCTCATGGAGTTTGTAGAACCTAAAGGCAGAAATATTAGTTCATATTTCAGGTTGTTGTGTCAGCATAGGTTGCGATAATAGGCTTCCTTTGGAGGCAGCAGACAGATTTTGTCCTCAAAATGTCAAACAATATAAACAAGATAAAGAGTCGACAGCTATGCTTGCAGTTCAGGGAGGAACAACGGTGCTTTGAGGTAAGTGTTTATGTAACAGCGAATAACATAGTAACATGCTGATGCTGTGTTTACTATCTTAGTTTGTACTTGCTAATTATTGGTAAACTCAAGGTACAGATGAGGCTGATGTCTGCACCAAATTGCATTGCTGTTGTTGGGATATTTCCCTGAACGCCACAAATGCAAACCTGCTTGTGGCTCTAACGGAAAAGTGGAAAATGGATCACCAAAATGAGTTCATTCAGGGCCAGTGAACATCAGTGCAAACCAAAGCGGTGGAGCAACCGACTAACCAGCCGCAATGTAATCAAGGCTAAAACCATTGATCTACCTTTGATTTTTTTTAAAGACATAAATGGTGCTACCTGGCGATTTCACATTTGTTGACCTCCAAGCCCCTCTTGGGCATGTATCCCATCCCCTTCTGGCTCTCCTTGCTGCTGTACATGGACAGGTAGTGGACAAACGGAGCCTCATCCGTCACCTCAAAGTAACGGATGCTGCTGTCCCCCTGTGACGAAGACAAACCTGTGAGCTGTCTGTGTGGGTGAGAATGACACACAAAGATTGCAGCATCTCAGACTAACCTTTCCACAGAGGTAGACGACGCCAGTGTCTGGGTCAAAAAATGGAAGAAGGACGCCGCTGCTGGTGTCCAGCTCCTGCAGGGTCAGCGCCTCTTTAAAGTTCTTCTGTTAACGGAGAATCAGGTAGACAAAATTGTGCATTTGATTATATCCGGTGTAATACACTGTGTAAAAAGGCTGCTTCAGCAGACGACAGGTAATCCCAGGATCTATTTAATTGAGACTGATGTAGGTATTGCAGAGCAAACACCCTCAGGGCTGTAATGTGGCTGTTGTGAAACACCATTGTTGCAAATAGAAGTTACTCCCTAGTGACAAATTTTGAGCAGACCACAAAAGTGTCTAGGTTTTCATATAATATCTAAAATTCTAAGTCCATTAGTGTTTTTCCTGCTGTTTTGTTGTTTTTACATTCAGCTGCTGAAGGACAAAAGTTGAAGGTGGCGACATCTTGTGTTCATCAGTTCAACTTTTCAACTGAAAAATATTTCCATTCTTTCTTTTCACAGAGTCTGAAGGTTTCATGTTGTGTATCAGACACAGTTTTACTAGACATCTTAAAACATGTGAGGGGATGTGAAAAGGCTCATTTTCTTTGTTCTACAAACACTACAACTACTTCTCTGTCAAATAATTTATCTTACATAAAGATGTTCTTTCATTTCAGGTGGAAATATATAATTTCTGGAACTGATCTGAATTGAATGCTAAACCTTTAATAAATATAATATGATTTTTAAAAACAGTATCTTGACCTGCTGCACATTTCATAACATATTTAATGTCAGAGAAAAAAAAATGTCAGCCCCATTTTTCGGAGGGATAAGTGTGTGGATTATAAATCTTGGTGAAGTTTTTTTTAGTCTGACAGACAAGTGACACTCACTGGATCCCACAGCGCCACCTGCCTCTCACTCATGCGACTGAACCCGGTTGTGAGGATCTTGCCGTCATTCACAAACACCCCCCTGATAGGCCTGGAGCCCTCATGAGGCTTCTCCTTCTCCTGCAGGTGAGAAGTAAACCACAAAACAGATCAGTACAATTTCTATAAACGCCTATAAGTAGATACAAAACCTAAAGTTGCATGTTTAATATCAAAATTATACAAATGTGTAGAATTGAAGAAATCAACTTCACCTTCTGTTTCTTGTTATTAGCAATTTGTACAAGAGATAAAAGTACAAAAATAGTTGAAACACAGATTTTTTGGTAAGAAATACACCATTTCAGGCTGTCGCATCATTATTAGAGCTAAAGCAAATAGTCAATCACATAAAAACTAGCAGTTTGAGGATTATTCGCTGCTTTCTGACCATTGACTATCCAGATCATTAATTGGGGAAAATTCTAATTTGTCTTGTTCCTTAAAGCTACAGCGTTGGTAATAGAGCAGGAAAGGCTGATCAGATGAGGAAACCTACAAAGAGGACGGTGCCCTTGCGTGGATCCAGCACCCGCATGGTCTTGTCCTTGCAGGTGGTGAGGATCCTGGAGCCGTCCGGGTTCCAGCTGGCGCTGTAGATCAGGTCGGAGTGCACAGTGTCGATCCTCACTGCTGCTTCCCCACGAGCCACGTTCCACAGGATCACCACGTTATCACAGCCTGCATGGACACAACAGTAGCAGATATAAAGAAGGGTTGACGGGCATCAGTGTGGGCTCGTTATAAGAAAGCTAACCTACAGTACAGATGTCTGAATTAGCTTTATCAGCCACCGATCTGTGAATATTTAGAATATGCCAAAACATGATATCAGTTTTCTAGATAACATACACTTTATATAATTGAGGAAAATATAAAGTTTATGCAAGTATTATAGATCAGTTGTAATATCTGGTTGCACCACCAGGTGGAGCCTTGGACTCTTTAACACTGTTGGAGGAGACTGGCAGTTCTGTGCCAGCTAGTCGGACTCACCGATGTAGGATGAGCTCATTTCAGTCGGCATTTTCCATTCTTCCTCTAACTGTTAACATGTTCTTTCTTTTTTTTCTTTTATGACGGGAAATAACAACAACAACCTCCAAGCAGCAACCTACTAACCCAAAAGTTTTAAAGTTTTGCAGAAGTGTTGGATCGTGCCACAAAGCAGCCTTGCTAGTTTTTTGTGGAGGATTATCCATTTTAATGACATTGCTTATTACCTGCATGCAAACATTCTACCACAACCGTTCGACCCGCCACTATTTTGAGGGTAAGCTGCATCCTTTGCTTAGCCCCACCTATTGATTGTGACTGACTAAAATAAATACAAACAAGCTAGAGTTTTATTTATTTTTTTATCCCCTATAATGGAATGATAGTGTGGTGCAGCAAGACCATTATGTTCTACAGAATGGGCTAGCAAAGCCAAGCTATGTGTTGGCAAGAAGAGAGCATTGTAGTGGTTTAACTAGTACAGGAGCCCCCATGACTAAGTCCTCTGTGATGCTTAATGGCATTTGGCCAACGTAACTGTAGTAAATCTTGTTGGAAGTGTATAGGAAGGCTTCTTATGTCCCAGTGACATGTGAAATAGCTGTCAGTGCAGAACGTACAAGGTCAGATGTCTGTTCTACCAGATCTGTATGATGCATTTATCAAATACCAATTGCTAACGCTGTATTTATGAAGGAAAACATAAATATAAAGTGAAATTCAGCCTTTTTTCCCCCTCATTTTAAAATGCAGTGGCTTGTGTGATTCAAGCTGATTCAGATTTTCACATTTTCTTTCCCAAACTGTCAAAGCTTCAGTGTCATTTCCTGGTAACATGTTTTACATTACCACTGTATTCCAAATAAACAGAACAGTAGTGATAGCTGCCATGGCTGCAGAGAGCAGAAACGAGCACCGCATACAGAAAACAGAACTATATGAAAAGTTTGGTGAGAAACTCATGACAGTGGTGTTTGACAGATGACTTAGCGCTGCACTAAAAAAGTAAAAGCCCCGAACAGACACTAGAAATGTACTTTATGAAGATTAGTGCCAGGCTTAAAAACAGGGATATTCATGAATGAAACGTTTGTAATAAATTAGCAGCAGTAAGTGCTGACTATTTAACATTTGTGTTTCTCCAGTTTTGGCAGAAGAGCATCATTAAAAAATCATTGTGTTGACTGGATGTGTCTGTGCTTCAAATGACAGTTGTTTTTTTGTTCTTTTTAACAAATTTTTTCCAAAAAATATTTATGCATTTTGTCTATATGAACAATAGCAGCATGTTCTCATTAGTGTATTATAATTTTTGTTTAAATTGCTCAGTCCAAGCAGCTCTCAGTAAAGTTATATGTCAGACAGACTGAGGCCTCAGGGAGAGCTACTGTGAGCTGAAGTGTCAAAGGGGTGTTTAGAGTGAAGAGGGTGGAGGCTGTGAGAACTTCCTCTTTAACAAAGGTGTGAGTCTCACTCAACAACACACCTGCCATATATTTATATGACATTCATTACTGTCTGGTTCCTCAATACACAGATGCATTTCCATGCTGACCTTTTCTGTCAAAACATGTAACTGCAGGGACAAGTTAAGATAGTGTTTTAGCATGTTGTTGAGGATTAAATACCTGCACTCATCAGCACATTGTGAGCAGTGGGGTGCCAGCTCAGGATGCCGACACGTTTGGAGTGACCATCCAGCTTCACAACAGGATCTGTGAGAGACGTGGTCAGCCCGCCGTCCGGGATCTCCCAAATCTGTTCATCAACGGAGACATTAAAGTGTATAATTCACGTATCGCATTACAGCACAAAGAATATGTCACGTCATGCTCTAGTTAAAGATTGTTTTGCCTTACCATGACACTACAGTCCTCTGAGCCACTAGCAATGATGTTGTCATTGTGAGGACAGAACTCAATGTCCAGAACCGGACCTGTGTGTCCACATACGGTGGGGTAGGACATGTCAATACGTCCTGTCTGCAGCGGTAAACATAAAGGAAGACATTGTTAGTCGTCTCAAATAAACTCATCCATGCAGAAACAAGACAATTACAAAAAGCAAAGTGGAAAAATGCATACAAACCTGTGTGTTACAAATACTTTCTACATGTAAAATACTGTTGGAGGTGTCTTTTTTTTTTTTCAAATATAGAAGAATCAATAGAAGTATTTTTAATATCAGTTTTTACTAATGGAAGAATCTGTGGAACTCCAATGTCTTCTTACATAAAGAATTATAATGTGCAATACTGTTATTTTCCATATTTAAATTAATCTGTACAGTATCGGAATTTTACATATGGGGGAATCTGTCAGCAATACTTCTGTATATTTCTTTTTTCTTCTTCTGTTTCTACTAATGTCTATATTTTTTGCACTATCCACTTTGCTGCTGAACATTGCAAATTCCCTCGCTGTAGGATTAATAAAGGCTTATCTTATCTTATCTGAACACAGACATGTGACGAAGAAAGGTAAAACACATGATGATCTAATCCAGGTAGGAGGAGAAATTGGTAGTCAGGTGATACAAATTCCACAGCTATGCCTTCAATTACTCCTAATGGCTTGTAACCTGGTTACAGAGCAGATCAGGACCAGGAAGGTGAAACTGCATTTGTTCTAACATGCCTCAGTGTGGGAGAGTATCAGGCAAAAGAAACATGACAATTACAGTTAGAGTTTAAAAAAAAAAAAAGAACGTAAATGGGCATTTTTCCAGCATATCAATCTGGCTATGGCTAGATTTTGAATTTGCTTTTTAATGCTGGCAAAAACCTGAACAAATTGCTGCCCCTTAAAGCAAGATGAGACGAGCATAACAGCAACAATAGGTATCACAGAACAGGCTGACCTTTTTTTTTTTTTTCATGTTTCCACAGCACATTTCCCTGCAATTTTATGCCCACTGGTCCCTTCACTTATTTTGTCCTTTGAGAATTATACACTACATGCGAGATAAGACCATGAATAATGTGGTTTCTGCAGGGTTCACCAAGTAAAATTAAAGACTCAAAACCTCACATAGTGTGAGAATAGGATTGAAAATTAGCAGGCATAACATTACTGAGAAGAATCACACTTTTGCCAGTTTAGCAGTAATTCCTAATGACATAATTAATCACACGAGGGACTCTGATGAGTAGTAGTGACGGTGTTTGATATACAAGTCAAACTACTGTCTCACATGCAAAAACATTTTTTGCCTACTTTGCTGTTTACAGAAGCAATAAGAAAAGATTTTTTATTTTAGTAATGAAACTCATTGCTTTAGAAAACCTGCACAAACCTATCGACGTATTAAATTCACAGGCCTAAAGGAAGATATAGGTGATGCAGAGAGATGCTTCACTGAGTTCACACGCAAATGACCACTAACCAGGCCAGAAGGCTTGCAATAATCAACTTTTTTAATGATAGAAAATGCAATAAAGAAGCCACCTAGCACACTTCAAAAGTGACTGCAGAGAAGCTGGGTTGAGGCCACATCCTGTCCTCCTGCACTAGGCTGACAACAAACTCCTAATATGGTGAAAACTTCTCAACAGCGGAGCAAGTGACGTGTAGAAAGACTGAAAGACGGCATCAAACTTCCTTATTCAGCTGAATGAGTGATTGTGACTGGCAGAATTCAAATTTTAAAGTGCCATCTTGTTTTTTTTTTGTGGGGGGGGACAGACACATACATACACACACACACACATACACACACAATCAAGAACTTGCATCTGAAGTGGTCAACACACCCAAAAATGGTATTGTGAGAAGTCACACAGAAGTGCTCGGAGCCAAGCAAGTCTTGCCTCGTGTGACCCACCTTGGTCAGGGGCAGCACCATGAAGGCTCCTCCACCGCTGGCGTCCACAATCATGGCCACAAACTTGGGGTTAACGGAGCAGAAGTTGCTGTCCCAGGTCATTTGGGAGATTCGGATGTCATCGTAGCATTGGTCAGCTTTCACAGCCTGGCCAAAGACGTGACGGAACTTACTGGTCCTCACAACCTTCCTGGACATGGTGAACTGAGAACAAACAAGCACTAAATGAAAAGGCAGAACTTTGTGTGTGTGCCAAAAAGCCTGTAGTAGAACCTGAAACAAGCTGCGATAGTGAAAACAGATGCATGTCATCATTTTCATGCATTTACTTAGACCACTCTCCCTTTATGTTTTTGCTTTCTGATTTCATGTGGAAATAAACTGGCAGACATTAAGCTGATGACACAGTAGATATACACGACAGAGGAGAGCTTAAAAAAAAAAGAGGAAGCAAAGTCTTTCACAACTGCTTCCTCTAGTGTGTTTGTTGCTGGTTTCTGTCTCTTCTCTCTTCATTTGTGTTTCCCTGAAATAATTGTGCATGCTGAGGACAAGCGTACAAAACAGCAGCGACACAAAAACATGCTTTTATCGTAACTTTGAGCTGCTGTGTGCTTAGAAAGGTCGTTGCTAAAGTGGCAGTTACACCACATCCTTCAGCAACAAAAACCACTAACCTCTCGCTCTCCTAATTTGTCATCCTCATACTCGTGCTGTCACTGAATTTCCCACAGGTATACACACTTTAAGGTACATATTTTAAGAAGCAACCGTAGCATATACGGTGAATGCATCCTGTACCGAAGCAGGAGTCAGTCAGAGTGCATAATGAGATTTGTGTTAAGCCTCAAATCACCTAAAAGTTTAGTCAAAACCAGCTGCAAAATCAACAGAATATGCGTCATTTAGCACTGCCAGTGAGCACCACAAAATATATTTTGCTTTACCTCCATTTGTAGACTTTACTTCCTGAAATCTGCAGCTGCGCCCATAAGCCCACGCTCAGAATCGTGTAAGAGTTTTGCTGCATGTGCATCACAAGACCTCTCTTGCTGCTCTGCACCTAATTTAATAATCCTTTATAGAGTGAGCTGTAATTTTATCAGGAGCCTAAATGCATGTCAATGATCTGCCTCCACCGCTGCCTGTCTCTGTTGTGATGGAAAACACTACCAAGCACAGAGCAGGAAACAATTCACTGACTTGAAACAGGATAAACTCAGACCATGTGCAACCAAGATGCTGAATTCAAATCAATGATGTTCTGGTATCTTCACCTACCTGCTATATAACAAATGCAAGTGTTACAAGTGATATCCTCTGAGATGTTTTGCAGGTGTAAATGAGCTGCAGGAAAGATTGGAGCTAGACGTTTCAGGCCTACCTGGGAGTCGTGCGGGGGCGATTCAGCTCAAGGAGTTTCGGCAGTGACACCAAACACCCTGCCACCAGAATGGGGACTCAGAGGAAACGGTAAGTTAAAGTACATCACAAAACGACAAGGAGGAAGTAAGAGTTTCAAATGTAGGTGGAAGTGGGAGGTGTCTCCTTTGACATTTTTTGGGGTTGAAAAACTGCAGAGGGCAACATAAGGGTCTTCTGTAAGATCACATCAAGATAAAAATTTCAGAAAAATGCAACTTTGATTGTATGGAGTTCAGTCTACTCTATCTGTTTATCAACTGATGGAAGCAGATTCAGGCCTTTGTTGCCCAGACATCACCTCGTTATCAGAACCACTTCCTCTCCGACATGCACAGTGATCATTAAAAAGCTGATGCAACCAATGTGATGCATCACTCTGAAGCACAGGTCAAAGGTGCAGTTTAAATCTGAGAGGAGGAGTTTGAATGCAGCTTCAGTGCAGCATGATGGTTCACAGTGCAGTCACTAACTGTATATGTATATATTTAGAAGATCTACTGGGGTGAAAACTACACACCATATCCAATTCTGCTTGCTGTTATGATTTTATAGCATTTGTGACATCCGACATAAACTTTATTTATCTACTAACCCCTAATCTAACCGGTTTTACAAACATGCCACTTTTACAGTAGCTAGTTATGCTTAAACTGGCACTCAGTTGTTTTAGACATAATTTCAGTTCCCTGTTCCTGATAAGATATTGAACATTCAGTTGATTAATCAATTAGTAGTCAACTATTTAATCAAACAACTTCTGTTCTGATACACGATTAACTGGTTTGAGTACGTTTCTAAGAGGAGAAAGGCAAATTTCTCTAATTCCAGCTTCTTAAATGTGATTATTTTCTGTCTTCTTTCTTCTCCTGTGACAGTAAAATGAATCTCTTTGGGTTTTGGATACAACAACAAGCTTTGGGAGGCGTGAATTGACATGTTTCACCATTTTCTGACATTTTTGAGACCAAACAACTCTTTGATTAATTAAGAACATAATCGACAGATTAATGAATGAATGAATGAATGAAAATAGGGCTGCAAGGTGGCTCGGTGGTTAGCACCGTCGCTTCGCAGCTAGAAGATCTTTCTGTGTGGAGTTTGCATGTTCTCCCTGTGCAGCGTGGGTTCTCTCCGGGTTCTCCAGCTTCCCCCCACAGTTCAAAAACATTATTAACATGAGGTTAATTGGTGATTCTAAACTGTCTGTAGGTGTGAATGTGAGCGTGCTTGGTTGTCTGTCTCTAAGTGTGGCCCTGTGATAGACTGGTGACCTGTCCAGGGTGTCCCCTGCCTTCACCCTGAGTCAACTGGGACGGGCTCCAGCCCCCCCGCGACCCTAGTGAGGATTAAGCGGTGTATAGATGATGGATGGATGGATGAATTAAAATAAATGCTGGATGCAGCTGCTAAGCCTGTGAGAACACTTGCATTATAAATAGACTAGAATCCATTTATTAGCAGTTTAAGCCACATAAATATCAAGTTAACTTGGTGTCTTCCACATATTTGTTAAAAATCTGTCCCAAACCTTATGATAGAGCAATACTAAGACACTGGAGGGCCCTTTAAACTGCTTTAAGCAACCGGTTCTAATATAATGAAAGGGTCTAAATATCTCCTTATACAGCTGAGTTAAAGCGATGTTGTTGCTTCTTGGTTTTTTATTTTTAGCACTGTGAGCAAAAACCTAATGCACACATACTTTCACAGTTATGGGGGCCGTCTATTGGCTTCACCTCACTCATCAAAAGCAAAGAAGCAGCCCTATGCGTCATTCTAAACAACAAGTTTAACCTTTTCTATCACACTCAACATTGTATCTCACTGTACAGTTTAAATCTAAGCTTCCTCAGCTGGTACAGAAGCACCATGAGGGTTATGTGGAGGAATGACCATCAGGTCCCTCTAGTCAATATACGATCACTTTGAGAAAATATTGTCTGACCCATCTCATATTCTCCTCATGAGCTCTCACCCTCTGGCAGATAATATAGAGTGGCCCAATGTAAATTAAACCACTTTAAAAGCTCATTTATGGCTACCGCAATTAAACACTTTAAACAGTGTTGATGGAGGCTGCAGGGGGGTTGTGCGATGGTTTCACAGTGTTCTTATTACTGGTTGTGTAGTAAGTGCAATTAGTGGAATTTAGAGATCTGATTTGCTACAGAGGCGTCTATACCTGCAGACACAACACAGTACATCACATCACATCACATCACATCACATCACGCAGCATCCAGTGTGCAAACTTCATCTTAGTTTTTAGTGGAGCTCACTTTTTTTTCCCCAATTTCTCATGGTCATGAAAAACAGATACATTTACCAAGCACTTGATTTAGCTCTTATTCATCATTATTCCTAATACGTGCCTGCTTTCAGCGCCACAGAGGGATGGGTTTGTCTGTTGTTTTGCCTTACTGAAATTGACATCAAGAAATTTCTACATCAATCTTTGATTAAAAGTGATTGAGGTTTATGATATTGTGCCACTATGCTTCAATGGATTACACATGCCTTCATCTAATGTGTACTGTGACTTGTGAGTATTCACATAATGCATTCTCTCACCTTGTGTTGCCAAATTTGACTGTCCAGCAGCCCAATCCGTCTAATTGTCACAAGTAGCCCCACAGCCATGGTTAGACATAAAGAACTATATACCAAGCTGTTAAAGTAACATTATTTTCCAGAGTATTTGATTATGCTAACGGTTTTACAAGATTTTTTATCAGAGTTGGCGAAACAATAATCTGAAAAGAAAACATGTCTAGGTCTGGTTGTAATGAATATAAACGCCATTCTGATGTCATATAAGCTGCATGTTGGGCCGGTGACAGGTATGTTCTAACTATATTCGACGAGATGCTGATTTACAGTAAAATGTATTTGTATGTTAGAAAAATTCAACCTAACATTACAAACATGAGCCTAAATCATCACAGGCTACGAAAAACCATTTCAACCTTTATGCTAATTTAAACCTACTTCAGACTCAACTCTAAACCTTAAAACAGCCTATTTAAGATGTGATAAACCGCCAAGTTCGCTTTGCAGTTAAAACTCAAATTATTCTTTACAATAAAGTTCAAAACCACACACATACACATCCACACTTCAATCTTTGTGAGGACCGAACCACAACTCTGCTGAGTCTACTTCTAAACCTTAACCCTAAAATGACCCTGAACATCACCGTGTTCGCTCAGGAGTCCTAATCTCAGTTTGGTCTTCACAAAGACGCACACACATGCACACAAATCTTAATAAGAGAAGAACAAAAGCATAAACAGGATGAAAGAGATGACCTGCAGGCAGGTTTAAAAATATAGACTTCAGTTTATTGCACAATCGTTGCTGGAGACTGAGGAGTGTGAGAGCCTGTCTGTTACACAGGACACTAATGTCGGACACACATGTGAACTACAGCACAGGAACAAACTGTGTTTCTGTGTTTGAGAGCGTTAATTTGCAAGCACACAGACTGGATAATGAGGCACTCTGAGGGTGCAGTCAGCATCCCGTCGGTGCAACAGGAGAAAGTAAACCGGACAACATACAGATTTCGTGCTTGCATGGGTTTCCGTAGGAGAGCTCATACACACATGTGCACATACATGATCTGGAAATATAAATTAATAACCCTGGAGGAAAAACCGCAGACCTGAACCGACAGTATTACCGCCTGTCAGCTGGTTTCATTTGGCTGCAGTATGGCTACAGTAATGCCTGCATCAGTGAACATGAACTTCCACTAGATGGAGCCACACTCACTCCTTTGACACGTTAAAAATGCCGTGACATTGCAGATATGAAGACACGATAACAGACAGACCCTCCAGAAAGCTCCCTTCATCCTAAAGGAAAGGGCTTGTCTCATTACCTGTACACATAGACCAGTGTCATTATTAGGATCCACAGAATAACAGTAATCAGAATAATCAGTATATAACAATACAGGTAATCCATTATAAACAGGTTGTTAACAGGCTATCCGGCACCTGTGTAATATTAAAAAAAACTGAATTTAGTTTTGTTAGTGATGTTTCCATACACCATTTTACATCTTTTTTTTTTTTCTTCATATAACATACAGACAAAAGGACAAAGACCAATTTTCCGACCAGGCTCCACTCCTGTAACATGTTTTTTGTTTTTTTTTAAGAGAAACACCCCCCCTTTCCACCTTCCTTCTCCCTTGCGTCCAGTCACAGCATAAACACACTGGATTTGGAGGGTAGGTGAAGGTGGGCAGACGTCTCCACAGACATGTTTCAGACAGCAGAGGTCAGGCCTCGGATGTTACAGCTACTGCTATGGCACCCTGAGAAGTGGGAGACCCAGGATGTTGGAGTGAGCCCTCCGTTACAGCGGATCAGAGGGCCGATTAACAAACACAAATTGACTTCACTGTTATGTATCCTTCGGCTGATAATGCATAGATAGACCAGTGGTAGTCACGAGGTATTCACATGCCTGCCAAGGTTCCCCCACTATGGTCACAAGCGTCTTTCTCGTGTGTCTTTAAAAAAAAAAAAAAAAAAAAAAAGCGGTTACATTTAAATGATCAAAAGCATTCTTAGTTAGGGCCACAAAAAGTCAAACAACTCTACATTAGCACTGAAACCGATTCAGTATTTTTTTTTTTTTCTGTGTTGTTCACATACATATGGACACAGCTAAGCAAACACGTCATTGATATTATTCTGAAGCACCGCACCGAGCCGCCTACCTCCCTCTCCCATGTTTCACTTTGGCTGTGAAAGAGAGCAGCAGCTGCTATGTAGCAAAACATCAGTCCCATTCCTTCTTATTGTCCTTCCTCAGCAGATTGTGTACGTTCAAAAGAAATGAATCAGGGTATATTTTTCTGCACTGTATGTATTCTATAATCTACATACATGTATTTACATTATTTATATGGACTTTAAATATGTTTCTGAATTGTAATTTACTTGAATCCAAAGCCCTTTGGAGAACAATGAACAGTGCAGTTTATTTGATAGTGATGTATTGCCTCTGATCTCGTCTGTTCAGTCGATCTTCCTATAAGCGGTGACCCCACCCTCCAAACTCCAGCTCCCCTCCCAACCACCCACACAGTCATTTCCAGAAGTGAGCGAATGACCTGTTGCTGGCTACGATGTACAAACGATTAGCTAACACTATGAGACATCAGTTTCTGATTCACAGCTACTTTCATGCATTTTTTTTCATTCAATGGCCAAAAATACATTAGTTTCAGCTTTTACATTGAACCCCGGTCATAGCAGGTAATAATCACCATCGGAGTGAGACTAGCACACACACACACACAGTATCTGACTCTTTATCAGGGCGAGGGGGTGCAGTCTGAGGTTAGTGTACGTGATAAAGGCTCTGGGAGGTCCTTCTTCACCTATGAGTCAGTGTCAGCGCGAGAAGCAAAGGGTGTGCTACACCTCAGACGCTGCTAATTTGGCAAGATGAAATGGGGCTGAGGGGATTGGCAACTAGTCAGTGGGCGGCTGTGACTGTTGGCTTGGGAAACAAGTGCAATGTCATTAAGAAAGTAAAGTCTGCCTCTAGATAAGAAGTCAGCCGTCAGACAGCAGTCTTGAGCACGACGGAACAGCGCAACAGTTACTTCTACTCGAGAGTAGCAACCGAAATAGCACAGCAGAGTATGGAGCCAAAATAATCATGAACATACACACAGAGCTGCTGTGCCTTATACATGACAGGAGGGCGAAGGGGTTCATTCCTGCTTAGTGAGACCACCTTAATATATACCTATATATATATATATTCACTGCACTGCTTTGAAATGACTCATCAGAGTCAAACCTCTATTCAGGTTGAAAAAAAAGTGCAAGTTAAGTTGTGCTCTGTCACAGAACACACACAGCTGCAGAGCAAAAACAGTGCATTCAAAAGTATAATGTGGCAATTATGTGCTCATTTGGTGGCGATCGTGACTGAACATCATTATATAATGTGCATGTAAACATCCAAATACAGTAGAATCGAATTCAAGTCTGAGAAAAGCTGATGTAAATAACGGAGCTAAAGAGGCTTGTACGTTTTAAAGGTCAACTGTTTCCTATCTGGTAATTGTGAATGAAATGCAATGCATGGCCACAGATCTTTTCCAACTACATTACTGTGTGACTGAGAAGTCACATATTGCAGGAAAGAAAAGCGGGTGGAGAGAAAATGCAGAGCTAATCCTCAGGATTTGCACGGTTTGAATAAAACAAAAGATTTGCTTTGACCTCTAACTTGATCTGTGAGCCTGTGATCCTCCACAGCAGCAGCACAGCTGTTTAAGCAGCTGACAGACACAGAACTACCTGCAGCAGCAGATAAATACCCATGAATAGAAAGAATAACGGATATAATCTATTCTTTAAGAATATTACTTTGTGCATATTGTGTCAAAGACAAATATCTGCTATTTGCCTAAATAGGTTTACAGTGTTAAAACGTTTACTAGACAACAACTTACAAGCTATTGGCAACCTTTAAGTGGCAACATCTTACTTTTTAGTGCATCCTGGTGCCACATATGTGCACGTGGTGGCATTTCAGTGAAGAGCAACAATGTCATCTAAAGGTTTTGTCATTCTGAATTGCAGACTAGAGGGCATTTACACACAACTAATGTGCAGAAGACTGAATACTCAATACAAAGCACTCAGCTCGTACTTTTTTAAGCTAAAAATGATAACATTTCATAAAAGTAAATAGTGGTAACAGTTTCCTCACAAATTGAGGTATTCATAAATGCAAAACAATAAATTATTCAAACTTTGCTGGACAAGAGAATTCTGCTTAACGCCACGGAATAACAGGTTGTAAACGAGTGCAACTTCTTTTCAGTTTCAACATGCCTGGATTTCGTTGGCACTGGTGCAAACAAAGCCGACAACACTGCGTGACAGACTCTAACTTTGCAGTCTTGGCCACCTAAAGCGCGTAAACTCATCGCCATCATGATCAGGAATGAACCCCTCGTCCATCTTCATCTGGTGCCGGTAAGGACAGTTCAAACCGACACACACATAAAGAAAGAGGCAGTGGCACAAAACAAGGAAATAAATAAGTGAAAACTCGAGGAGTGCTTTGCGCAGCACTCACAGTATGTACATGTAGTATAAAAATATAGGTGCGAGGGAGTAGTGTGTGTTGTGTGTGTGAGATGTGCGTGAGCTGAGATATGGATGTGCTGCATAGGTAGCAACAGTGACATCTAAGAGGACTTGAGCGTGTGATATTTAGACTGTCTGAAGCAACCACATCAACTAATGGTCAACTTCTGTTACTGAGTAAAGGCTTTAAGCTCAGCAGAAGCCTTTTACTGAAGCCTTTTCCTATGACTTTATAGCATTTAATACTCTAATTAACTGTATGAATGTGTGTGTCTCTGTTCATGTTTGTGGCAAGAGAGAGTCAAAATGATTGTGCGTGTGACTTGACATACGTTTACCTGCATTCGCACAAAGATGGACGAAGATATGAACATTCTGAGCGCATGAGGTGAACACATGCACAGCATCAGTTCTCCCCCAATCTCCCCTCCTGCCCCCTCCCCTCTCCCCACACCCCCCTCCCCCCCAGTAGTCCTTCAACCCTATGTCCCAGTGCTCCTTGTCAGGGGGCGGGGGCTGTTGTGGGGGTCAGTCTGAGGGACAGTTGTAGCTGTTGATCCACAGCAGGTCGTCCAGCACGCCCCAGTGCAGGTAGAGGATGGAGCCCACCACCAGTACATGCATGATCTGGTGGCTGTTGCACCAGTAGTCAAAGAGGCCCGGCCGGAAGCGCTCCGGGATGCGTGTGATGTTGATGACCCCGCCCAGCACGGCCAGCGCGTCCATCATTAGGAAGTGGCGTAGCGAGGTAGGGCTGCCGCCGCCCACGCCCACCCAGCGCAGCAGGAAGAAGGAGAAGCGGAACAGCGCCTGCCAGGCGAAGGAGCGCAGCCGGCGCACGCTGCTCCGAGCCGTGACGGCGCAGTAGATGGCGTGGCTGGATAGCAGGATGTAGACTAACAGGGCCACAGTGCGGATGAATGGGTAGCACAACAGCGTGCTGTAGACAATGGGCAGCGCACCTGAGACAAGGAGACACACGAGGAAGTCAGTGATTAAGTGTTGACACACAACTCAGCAGCGATGCCACGCCTGGTGCACGGCAAAGAGCATGGCAGTCAAATAGTTTGAACCTTGTTTGACACGGCCTTTTCAGAGCCGAGTTAGCAGCGCACAGATCTTTAAATGAGTAGTCTCTGCCTGACTGGGCTTTAAGTGCTCAACTCCTGTCACATTAGACTTGTTTTCAGCCCTCAGCCTGTTTCCTCCAGAGGCTTTAACTTTTGCCAGGCTGATATTGTAAATAAGAGTTTGTTTTTAACCCTTGAAAGACTAAAACCTGCCAGTTTGTTTGAAAAAGCATGTTATCCATGAAAATGTAACCACATTTTTCACATTTTTCAAATCACATTTCAACTTTTCAACAGTCAGTGAACAAATTGTGTGTTTGTGTGCAGTTCTGTCAGAAAAATGAACCAAATCTAATCTTAAAATCATGACTTTCTTTAAAATTAACTAGATTCTGTAACAAAATAAATAAAATTCTGCACTTCTTCATAAACTAAGAAGCCATAAGTGACACAGACGTTACAAAAATTCAGGGACTTTTCGGCTGAACTGGATTAAACTGGAGGTCTTATTACACAGAGCAGATAGGAGACAAGTATGGAAACATACAAATTTAAGGAGTAAAATACATGCTGTATGTAGAATCTCGTGTTTTTTTTTCCCAGTCTTGCAAACAACTGTTGGAAAAATGTTGTACTAAAAAAATCAATTTTTGTTTTATGATTTATGACATAATTTTTGGATGGTTTTGGATTGAATGTGTACAATAAGAATAATATGAAGATGCCGTTTGTGCTATTTGTACTATTTGTGGACACATCATAGAGAAATGCAATAAATCAATGACAGACTGACAATTACAACAACCATCTTCCAGCCTATGCTCTGTCACCATATTAATTATTGCTGTATTATTATCTGCATTAAGCAAATCAATAAGGTTTGTTCAAAGTACACGAGTACATAAATAAATGAAAAATAATGCACTTGTCTTTTTTTTTTAACTGGAGGTTAACATAGGCAGCACACAGATCAATAATCATTTCAGAACTTGGGTCACCGCTTGCACTGGACGATTGACTTAGCGTTGCACTCTGTAGTGAAATGTGTTCTGACCAATCAATACCGGTACACCTCCAAGCAAAACACTTCCACGGTAAATCATTGACAATCGATAAAGAAAAAATTCCACCCTCAAAGCAAACAGAGCGGCAATAAGAGAGCGGCGGCTGACAATGAATCCGACATGACAAGCGGCGAGGGGATGTGCTGAGGAAAGGCTCACCCAGCGTGTTGATCATGCAGATTCCACACACGTCCAGCTTGAGGAGGGTGTGGTACACCGGCTCGCCTCCCTCGTGGTTCATGAAGAGGTGGTAGAGCACCGAGCCCAGCTGGGGCGACAGGCAGGCCAGGAAGTGCACCACGCCCAACCACGTGACGCTGATCTGGGACCAGGGGATGTTGAGCGGCAGCAGCACCAGGAAGCAAACCAAAGGGATGCCTGGAAGAAACACAGAACACGTTAGTTATGAAAGCATTCCTCCTGAAGGAAACACAAAATACCTGTAATTAAAGTTTGTAAGGTGACATCTTTTGAAGGATTATCACTGCTTGAACTTTCTTTTTTGTGGATGTCCACTTGGTGACAAGAAACACAGCCTGAGGCACGCTGGTATGAGAACCATCAAATAACACAGCAGCTTTGACAAAACCAAATTAAGGTGTCATGTTTATTGTGATGAATTATCTGGCTCATGACTTCTTCTTCTTTTTTTTTTTTTTAACTGCACGAGAAAGAGCAGCTGTGAAGGGCTTCCCGACTCTGCTGAGTGTGCGCCGACACCAGCAATAAGAGCAGAGGAGGGAAACCTTCGTATCAGTGTTTCCCTCTGAGAAAGAAAGACAAGGCTCCCGCTAAGCCCCTTATTTTGATGCAGCAAAAAAAAAAAAGACGCACGCTCTCTAATGGCTACACAGCTCCCAATCTGAGCTTCTCTGTTTTGGCACGGAGGAGGCAGGCACTGCTGCTACGTGAGCAAAACCAGGACCTTGAAATTTGATCCACATACAGTTGTTATGATCATTTATCACCCCACCGGCACACATATAGCACTCCCTTTCCCTTATTTCTGCCCACTCTGCCGTTCCCAATGTCAAGCCGTTTGTCCCAGGCAGGTGATACAGGGAATGCCATCTACTCTAACACATCTATTTTAAGTGCATTATCTCCGCTCCTCCCCCCACTCGTCCTGAGCCGACCGGCCCGAACTCAGGCTTGGACACGGCGGAGAGGAGCTCCTCTGAAAGCCTGCAGCATGTCTGAGCCCCGGAGCTGCGGGCAGGATGTTTTCAGTTTATATGCAAAACAAGGCAGCTCAGGAACCTTAGCTGAAATGTTACTACACTGTACAACAAAAAAAAACAGCATCAACCTGCACAGCTTGGCTTCTTCTCAGAGTTGCACAAAAGCTCAGTGGATTAAACACCAGTGCGTTATATATATATTCACTGATGTTAAGGGTGCGATTGAAGCCACATGCTCAGCTGACATCAGCGGAGAGTAATAAAGGCGACCAGGGCCACTTCCTCTCGTGATCCCTGCTGCAGTTTAATCTGCCGGTTGGGAGCGCGGCGAGATGATGACCTTCACAATGAGGAAGTTGTCTGATTGTCAGCGGTCAGCGAACGCACAGAGGATGTACTTTCATGGGAGAGAACAGGGCAGAAGAAACAAGAGGAGAGCTACTAATCATATCAGCACAACAGAAGAAAAAAACAGCATGCAGATTGCTAACAAGTCGACACGTCAGTCTCACCTCTGGCTGCACAGATTAACACATTACTGCAATTAATTTGGGCTTGCACAAAACTATTAAAAGAATAGCATATTGTGTAACCATGACACCCAGGGTCAGATGAAAAAGCCACTCCTGGTAAATTCTATTATGTGTGAACAAACCTTTATGTCAAACTTATTTTCTTTTTTTTTTTTTAATCCATTAATTTTTGAGCTGCATTGCTTGTTAGGGATGAGAGCTGCAAAAGCATGGCCCAAGGCGTTGTATTTAAAATTAATTGAATTAATCAACTGAATTCACTCTTTAGCAATTTGGCACACACACACACAAACCGCAATCAAAAGAAAAAGAGCCACCTTTAAATGTCTTTTGCTCATACAACCTTTAAAGTGTAGATATATTACTTTAAAAAACACAAAGTAGACGAATATTGTCTGATAATTTTGCTACTTAAAGAAATACATGAGCCCATATTGGTCAATATTACGACTGCATTTGTGTGGCGAAGGAAACTAACTGAACATTTTACTACTTCTTCTGGTCTCGTTGGAGCAAACTGAATCGCTATTTTACAGCTGAAATGATTATATTATATTGTTTACAGAAATTGCATAGCTTCACAACTTTTAAAGCAAAAATTGGCAAAGACGTGAGACGGTTTGATGTTTTTTCTTGTCCCACAAAACTGAAAACGGAGCAAATGTGGATTCATTAAGGATTAAGTGGCAGATTTATCGATAACAAAATATTATTTTTTATTTTGGTACTTTAATCTTTGACATGTAACAACTAACTACAGCTGTGAGTGGAGTACAAGCACAATATTTCTTTTGAATTGCAGAAGAAGTATAAAGCAGCTTTTAAATGGAAGCTCTTGAATTAAATCTAAGTGGCTGATAACTGCTCATAACTACAATACTAGTACATGTAATTAGTCCTGTTCAACCACTGATGATGCATCAACGTGTGTGCCTCTTAAAATAATAGGCATTAATTTAAATAAGGTGATAAACACTATAAAGCATGTACTGATTAGAGCGGCAAAGATTTTGTTTTATATTTTTGTTCGATTAATACATTTGAGGAATTTCATAAGAAAAGCAAAGATTCTCTGACTTCAGCTTCTTAAATAAGAATATTTTCGTGTTTCTTCACCGTTCTACAACGGTAAACTGGATAAACTTTGAGTTGACGACAAAACAAGACATTTGTCATCTTTGGCTTTGGGAAAAAAAACTATTTTCTGGCATTTTATAAACCAAACAAGTGACAAATGAATCTAGAAAATATTCAGCAATGACGATAATTCATAGCTGCATCCTTATATCTGGTGCTGCTGTACTTCACAAACCAAAACAGGCCTTTTTGTGTGTTATTTGTATCACACTGTGAAACTATTCAGCATTAACATAACGTCTGTGTGTGCATTTTGAGTCGTGTGTCGCTTCATGAGTCTGTCTTGGCGTCATTCCTCTGGAAAGATGAATCAATTAGTTGTCAACGATTGACTGAATCGTCAACTATTTTGATGATTAAATTATTGTGAGTTGTGGACAAAACAACCCATTTGTCTACTTGGACTTTGGGAAACACTCATCCACATTTTCCACCATTGTTTAGGCCTAATTAACTAAAGATAAATCCAGAAATTATTCACAATTTTAAAAAGCCTTACTTGCAGCCTTATAACTGACGTAACCAAACCAAGCCCACATTTTTATATTATTTGTTAAATGTTCTCTGATTTTTCAGCATTAACACAATAATTTCATGTGTGTGCATTTAGCTAAAACACCAAATGAAGAGTTCATTTGCAAAAACAGATAACTCCATCGACACAAACATTCAGAAAACCCTTTTTTCCTTTTTTGAGACAATATCAATCAAATGTAAGGTAGTCTTTTCTACTGGGTGAAATCCACTCAACTTCAGTTTAACTGATATTATCTCAAGCAAACAGCAAAAAAAAAAGGTTTATTGAAAATCTACAAAAATGGAGTAATCTGTTTTTGCAAATGAACTCTTCTAATATTAATTCCTTAGTTCAGGTGTGGCCTTATGAGGCTTGGCAACGTCCCTCTGCAAAGATTAACAGATAAGTTGACAACTATCGAATTGATAGCCAATTATTTTGGTAACTAATTAACTGTCAGTTGTGGACAAAACAAGAAATCATCTTGGGCTTAAGGAAACACTGATCAACCTAATCAAGTAATCGATTAATCGAGAAAAATATTCGCCATGCCAATCATCCCTAGTTGCACCCTTATTTCTGATGAACCGTAATTGACCTACAGCTGTTCAATATTGAAATGCGTGTGTGTGCATTGAGCCTGAATGTCAGATACTGAGCTTTTCCAGCCATGTGTGCCTCCATGTCTCTGTCTTGGCAGCGTCCCTGTGCAGGTGCAGCACCGGTGCCGGTGCGGGTTAACGTTCAAAGTCACACCGGCCACACTCATCTGAGCCGCTGACTAAGCACATCCTGCAGATTTTTTTTTTTCTGCACTCACCGTGAGTGTAAATGTTTCCAAGTTCATTGTGCAGGTAAAACAGGCTCCTGATGCAGTCCTGCACGGACGAGATTGGCCGGTATCCCGTTAGGACGTATTTGTTGAACTGGAGATGTGGAGGTGAGCTCGCCCAGTCCAGCAGCCTGGGTCCGTTTAAAAATGCCATAGCAAAGAGGACCGTTAAAAGGACTCCGCCGAACAAGTAAAAAACAGACTGTACACCTATATACACGTTCAGCAGGATTATTGCGACTAAAACCTTATGGGATACCATTGGTGTTGGTTGAGGGGGGGGAGGGAGGGAGGTGAGTTATATTGTGCTGTTAGCCGCCTAGCTCGGCGCTAGCAAGCTCACGTCAAGTCTGTCGGCGCTACCCGGCGACGGTGTGTCCGCGCCGCCGCTGCTCGCTCTGAACCGCCGCTACCTGTGTGAGTGTCATCCGCAGGGCTGGAGGCAGACACGGCCGGCCACAGGCATGCTGCGAGCTGGGGACGGTCATTACATCTGGCATCAAAGAAGTGTCTGAGCAGCGCCGACGAGCCTGAGGGACGAAACGCCTCCCGTCATGTTAGAGCCACTTCCTCGTTAGTTAGCATTCCGGTGCAGCAGCGCGGCTTGAACGCGTCCCGGACAGGGATGCAGGCTGAGCCGCGCGTCCATCCGACTCCAGAGGATGCTAGCTCGGTCCTAGCGGTCAGATCCGCAATAAAGGACCTGAAGGTTACACCGCCGCTTCAATGAGAGCAAACGGGCGTCATATGCTCAAGTGAGCTCCGTCTGATGCTGGCTAGCTTTCGTAATGCTGTTTAAAAAAAAAAAAAAAAGAAAAAAAAACACAGAGGAGATCCGTGATTGTGGAGCGGAGATTTTGAAGGACTGCGGGGCTAGCAAGCCGGGCAGGCGGCTACCGACGTCCACTGACCGGAGATGAGAGAGCTGAGATTTGAGCCGGCTGACTCCAAACGAACACGGCCCGGTTCGCGCAGCGTGTATTCGGTGTCTTCATCATCTGTTTGATCCGGTTATCCTCCACCATTCTTTGTGGCTGGCTGTATTCCTTGAAATGCGGAGTCTTCTCCGGCGGCCTCGGGTCCCCTGCAGCGCCTCCAACTATCAAGTTACACGGAGCACACGCGACTGCACTTCCGGTCGCTGTTTACAAAATAAAACCCACGCAGAGGAACATCTTCACAATGTTCAAACACCGAAATACAAGGGAAAAACAATAACAATGCAGCGTGCAAATAGTCTTGTTTTCTGACATAAAGGGGGAAAAAATGTTATGGTTAGAAAAGTATGACATTTTTTTTCAACTAGTCAGGCCATTCTGCAGTGTAAATGGTTTGACTGCCCCTCATTATTTTGCTATAGAGGTAAAAACAAACAAACAAACAAACAAAAAACACTTGAGGTTGTTTAGTTTTTTGTTTGTTTGTTTGTTTGTTTGTTTGTTTGTTTTTCAAACCAGTTACAATTGTTTTGGGTGGTATACTATGCAGTATGGTAGTGTGGATAATGGAGCCATCATTTTGGTGTAACATTTGCACACAGGGAGACGAGTACTATCACTATAATTCCATCCATTATCTATACACCGCTTAATCCTCACTGGAGGGGGGCTGGAGATTATCCCAGCTGATTTAGGGTGAAGGCAGGCGACACCCTGGACAGGTCACCAGTCTATCACAGGGCTACACAGAGAGACAGACAACCAAGCACACTCACATTCACACCTACGGACAGTCTAGAATCACCAGTTAACCTCAACATGTTTTTGGACTGTGTGGGAGGAAGCCGGAGAACCTGGAGAGAACCCACGCTGCACGGGGAGAACATGCAAACATGCAAACAACAGAGATAGAGAAAGCTCTGTGAATTGTATGGCCGATTGCAGGCTGATATCTGCAAAAGAGTCAGACTAAACTGTTCACACAATCTTAACTATTCATAAAAGGATAATTTAAAGGACTGTAGAAAAGGCCCCAAAGTTAAGCTGTAATGTATAGCACTGTTGCTGATGTGGTGCCACTCCTGGTGTGAACTTTGATCTAACCCTGAGCCAGCACCCTACTAGGCAGAGACAGCGTTTCCTCCCCTACAAGGCCAATGATCATCTAGTATGACCAGACACTCCTTTGACCAGTGACTGTAAAAGGCCACATTAAAATGCAGCTTTATTCAAATGATGCAATGCCACAGACGACAAGTGAGAACAGGCGGTTGGCTGCTGGATGCTGTTTGTCAGTTTGGGTCATAGCCAGGCACTTGAATATCCTCAACTCCACCACTTGTCGTCGAAGGAATGGTTTCAGACGGCTCTGGATGTCCGACAACATGATTCTGTCCCCAAAATGTCTGCCAGCTTCTCCAAGCCCCTCGGAAAGAGTGGAACAACATTTCAGAAGCAGCACTGACAACCATGATAACTCTACGCGTTGCAGTGTTGTAATTCAGCTGTGTATGTTCAAGAAGAATAACGAAAGTTCCAATCTGCAAGTAGGCAGATTGGTTCATCAGGTTGTTACGTATCAATCCCTGAGAGTCTGAATCCGTGTTTGAAGAATGTCGTCAGTACTCTGCATTTTTAATTTCATAATGCTTAGCTGTGGTGTTCACTGCTTATTTTGCTCATCATATGTCCTCTGAGAAACACCATATGAACATGCTAACAAGGTGAAAATAAAACTGCATCTTCACCAGATTGATCTGTAAGAGCGCTGCAGGTTTCATTCTGCATACGGGCTGTGAATTCATTGCTTGCTTCAGGAGTGTTGGAGCAATTTACAGATCCTGTGTGCTCACCGTTCAGTTATGCTTGGCTAAATGTCATTAACATAAACACACAGGATGATGATAATGATGCAAATATTTGCTTTTGGGCCCCTACGGGTCATTTTTCCTCCTTCTGCCCTGTGTACACTGAGAATGTGTGCTGTCAAACAGTACTCCTGTTCTACAACAATACGAGCTGGCTCCAGGTATTCGGTGTGTTAACTGAAGGACAACTTTATGAAAGGATATAAAATTATAAATGCAGGGAGCCCTCTTAAAGACAGGGCCACAAAATTGCAGGGACCATTGCAAATTCTAGTGAATATTCTCTCGCAAATTGTACATATTTATTATCAGCAGAGATTGAGTAAACCCCAGTTGGATCACTGGAGGTCTGGAGCCCACTTTTCCCACTTGAAAATCCAGTTAGCTCTGTCTTAAAACAATAGAACAAGTCAGCTTTTGATAAACTCACCCTTTTGTAAAGATCAGATTTTAGTTTGAAGGCGAACTCTGTAAACTTCTGGTCTATTCTGGTTGACTGGGTGCAGTTGATGGCTCCACTTTCATGGGGTAAATGCCAGCACTGACAGAGCTACAGCTGCCTTCAATGCACTTGGAAATGCTGCAGCTATCACCTGAGTTTACAGAAGAAAACAAGATTATTATTTGCAGGTATTATTTGCATAAATAAGAAATATGTTGGGTACCTAATATTAGTATTATTATCATAATAATGCAAAAAGTTAGGTCAGTTTTTCAAGAGTGTTCTAAAGGCTGGTTGTTTTTGAAAACTATAATACAAAATCAGCTTTTCTAATTGTGGAACATGCATAGAAATTATTGGAGTTGCAGATTTTCATCAAGAGAAAATCCGTTGTCTCATAAAATTCAAGCCTGCACAGTCTTTGTGAAACCGTGTGTCTATATGGAGCCAAACAAGAACAATACCATCCCTGACCCCTGACACACACTGTAAGACACGTGAAAGCTGTGCAGACATCTGCAGATATGCAATTTTAAGTACAGTTATGAAATAAAACTAGTCATTAGTCATCGAACACTGTGGGTTTACAAATCAGTCCCTGATCAGACACGTGTCCCTTAAATGCAGCCCGAAAATGTCATATATCCTAATTGCTGCTCAGAGTCAGTTTTGCTGTTGTTGCTGCATAAAAGTGATGGATGCACTTGCAGTGGCAAGTTTCCGAGGAGCACTTGAAGGCAGCAGGTGACGTCCTGTAATCCTCTAATGGGAGAGGACTGTTGAGGATCTGGATGAATCACACCACCTCCTCCTCTCACCCCTCTCTGCTGCTTGGACCTTATGACATGTGGCTGCCTGCAACTGCACCTCTGCAGAGCTGTGGGACCCCCCCCACCACCACCACCACCACCACCACCGTCCAAAATAAGAAAAACCAGTTGCCATCACAAGCCACATATCACGTGACAGCCAAATGCAGTTAAGGTGTGAAAATGATTCCCACAGGGGAGATTTTATTTTTGAATAATGCCTTACAGGTTTCAAATACACTCACCGGCCACTTTTAAAGGTACACCTGTCCAACTGCTCATTAACGCAAATTTCTAATCAGCCAATCACATGGCAGCAACTCAATGCCTTTAGGCATGTAGACATGGTCAAGATGATCTGCTGCAGTTCAAACTGAGCATCAGAATGGGGAAGAAAGGTGATTTAAGTGACTTTGAACGTGGCATGGTTGTCGGTGCCAGACGGGCTGGTCTGAGTATTTCAGAAGCTGCTAATCTACTGGGATTTTCACGCACAACCATCTCTAGGGTTTACAGAGAATGGTCCGAAAAAGAGAAAACATCCGGTGAGCGGCAGTTCTGTGGGCACAAATGCCTTGTTGATGCCAGAGGTCAGAGGAGAATGGCCAGACTGGTTCGAGCTGATAGAAAGGCAACAGTAACTCCAATAACTGCTCGTTACAACCGAGATATGCAGAATAGCATCTCTGAACACACAACACGTCAAACCTTGAGGCAGATGGGCTACAGCAGCAGAAGACCACACCGGGTGCCACTCCTGTCAGCTAAGAGCAGGAAACTGAGGCTCCAATTCACACAGGCTCACCAAAATTGGACAATAGAAGATTGGAAAAACGTTGCCTGGTCTGATGAGTCTCGATTTCTGCAGCGATATTCGAATGGTAGGGTCAGAATTTGGCGTCAACAACATGAAAGCATGGACCCATCCTGCCTTGTATCAACGATTCAGGCTGGTGGTGGTGGTGTAATGGTGTGGGGGATATTTTCTTGGCACACTTTGGGCCCCTTAGTACCAATTGAGCATCGTGTCAACACCACAACCTACCTGAGTATTGTTGCTGACCATGTCCATCCCTTTATGACCACAGTGTACCCATCTTCTGATGGCTACTTCCAGCAGGACAACACGTCATGTCATAAAGCCCGAATCATCTCAGACTGGTTTCTTGAACATGACAATGAGTTCACTGTACTCCAATGGCCGACAAATCTGCAGCAACTGCATGATGCTATCATGTCAATATGAACCAAAATCTCTGAGGAATGTTTCCAGTATCTTGTTGAATCTATGCCACGGAGGATTGAGGCAGTTGTGAAGGCAAAAGGGGGTCCAACCCGGTACTAGCAAGGTGTACCTAATAAAGTGGCCGATGAGTGTATGTTGCTTTATCATCTTTGCGCTGTATTTGTTTTTCAAGACACTGATCATTCTGTTCATCACATTATGAGTCATCTCACCTCTAACTGGAACCTCTGACACCTGTCTGTCCACAACCACATGAGAAAAATCGCCCCCCCCGTCATGGCCCTCCTTAAACGTTGGAGTGCTGACACCAACGCTCACAGTTCAGGTTCACACACGCAACACCAACACCGGAGACAAAGGTGAGTACGTGTTGATTTGTTCACTTTAACCCTCTTCAGGACTTTCATGTTGCCAATACGTAGAAGGTCTTTCAGGGTCCCCAAAAAAGAATATGTGTAAAATATTTTTTGCTATTCATTATAGACTTTTATACAACAACTTGAAGCGTTTTTGGTTCCAAATGATTGACAAGTTTTTATATTTTTTAAAAAAGAATCTTTAATAATAAAAAAGCAATACCTATCACTGAAACCACATGGCCTGGGGTCCAAAACACCCCAAAAGTCCTGAATAGGGTAAAAAATCTTCTCTTGAATAAATGTCACAGTTAAATAAAATAGGACTACACTAATTTAGTCACCTGAGCTTCAAAGAAAAAAAAAAAAAAACGGTATAAGTCCAGTTCATAATTTCAGGAACACATTGGAAATGTGTATGATATGTCAAGCCTTAACGTACAGTTGTGCATCATCTGCATAAGAATGTT